ATCTATTATTATATAAAGAGGGGAGCTAAATAATTCAAAAAATAGTAAGCAAAAAATAATTGGAATTCCCGCTTAAAATCTAACTAAATATAGTAACTTGCTTTTGAAAATTTTCATTTGCCAGTTAATTAATTTAAAAATTTTCATGTGCCCATGCTATTTGATTTTCCCGAATTTCACTCTTAATTTTTTGAAACTTTTCATGTGCCTGTTATTTGATTTTCCAGATTTTCACTCTTAATTTTTTTGAAAAATTTTCATGTGCCTGTGTTATTTGATTTTTCCGATTTTACATCCTTATTTTATGTATTTTGTGGACATTCTATGTACATGATAGACATTAAATTTAAATGTGCAACTTTGGAGTTTATTATGGATAAACTCTCTCTACATGGATAAATAAAAAGATTATTATGTCTCCTAAATTTAAATGTGCAACTTTAAAGTTTAAGTCTCAATCTGGTGATTCATAATCGTATGTCAATTTTATTTGTTGTGTTTACTTTTATCCATATTTATCTAGGCTTCTACAATTTTAAAGCACACATAACTTAAATTAAAAAAAATATATTATAAGACTTAATAATATTTTTATTTATTATCAAATTTTCATACATGATTAACCGCCAACCTTCTGATATTCATTTTAATTATATAAAATAACAAATAATTATATATATCTTACGAAGAAATTTTACATGTGGCATGTATCATTTAAAAAAATAATATTATTGTAGAGAATGAATATAATATCTCTACATGATAGACATTAACATGCTTGGATATAAATTTATTTTTGTTTTGATTGAATTTTTTATTTGGGTTGGTTAAATTTAAAAAAGTATGGTTAGTTGTTATTGGATATAATAAAATAATATTTAAAATAAAATAATTAAAATTAAATTGATGTAAAAGTAAGAGAGAGAAGATGTGATGTGATAGTTAGTTAAATTTATGTGAATAGATGGATAATGAATAAGGTTGATGTTGTGTGTAAGAATGATTGATTGATATTATTTAATTATATTGATAATATTGATGATAGTGAGTTGAGTTAAAGTTGAGTTAAAAAAATAGTTGAGTTAAAAATGAAAAAAAAATTGGATTGAATTTGTATCCAATCATGCTCTAAAACTTTAACTCCTATCAGATAATATTCTATAGAAAATTAATAGGATACTCTCTATGAACCGAATATTAATCTATATATCTATATCTATATTTTTATATAATATGAATTACTATTTTTTAAAAATGGCAAGTCAAACTTTGGTCAAACATGATTGAACATTAATTGCATGCTATTAATAGTAATTTTTTTTTATTTTTTTTCTATTTACAAACGTGCATCATTAATTGCCGCATTTAAATGGAGTTTGTTAAGTATAGTTTGTTATTTATTTTTGCGCGAGATTAGTTGTTCCTTTTTTATTTTCACAAAAAAAAAGACTTTCTTTAACATATAATCGTGTAGCACATTGCAAATTTTATTTTATTAAAAAAATAAATTACGCCTAATTTAATAATATAAACTTACGTTAGTATTTACAAAAAATCAGAAACTCTTCTAACTTCAACTCGGCTACTACAATTGTTTTAATTCATATTGTAAAAAAAAAAAAGAATTCATATAATTTTATAATAATTCAACTACACTATTAACAGTATTCCTTTTTATTATATAATAAATAATAATTAAATATTATATGGTGAACAAGAATAAGTAGAACTATTACTTTATCTTATATCAAGGGATAAATTTATATGTTAAAATTATTTTTTTTTTGTATAAATGTTTTAGTGAGTAATATATTAATTATTTTACAAGCTAACCCTAATGCTCATATTTAATGTTCTGGCTAAACAAAACAACATTGGTTAAAAGATGTGGAAAAAAAGTTATAACCCTATTGTTTTTTAGACTTAACATGATTAAAAGAGGTAGAAAATAGATATTAACCCTATTATTTTTTAGACTTAAACGGACAAGGTTGTAAAAATAACTTATTTAATATCTTTGTCCCGTGCATCGCACGGGGTACGTACTAGTATTATAGAATATCTGCTTGCTTTTTCCTGGAGAATCTATTTTCTCCTTTTATATTAATTTACAACACTTATCAGAAACGTAATCATTACATTAGAAAGGTCAAAGGCGGCTAATTGCCATTTATCTTGGTAGCGTGCCACTTGGCAAGGTGTAATGATGACTTGTGCTGAGCTGGCGCCGCCTCATGGTGTCGGTTTGGCAAGTCATAGATATCGGCTCGATTAGCAATAACCGATATGTCATATCCGACATGTCATAACCGATACGAGATGACAGTTAGTTGATGAAGATGTCGGTTCTTAATACATTTTCACCCGATATGTGATTGCTTTGGGATCCTTGGAGATGTCATCCTCTTGTACGAATA